ACTCCAGTCTGGGTGACAGAGTGAGACTCCAACTCAAAAAAAAAAAAGAAAGAGTGGTCAGTGGCTGGCAGTGGGCAGAGCCAGGAGGAGAACCCAGAGTTGGGCTCCAGGCCTGGCCTCCACCCTGCCTGCCCCCTCAGTTCAGCATTGCCTGTTTGTTCCACGACAGGCCATCAAAGATGTCACGGTGCTGGGCTGCAGAAAGGCGATGAAGAAGTTTGAAAGGCACACGCTCCTGGCAAGTGGGGGGTCCCGGCGCTGCAGTCTGAAAAACGGGCGAAGAGGGTGCCGGAGGGGCTCTCCCCAGAGTCAGAAGGCAGGAACCTGGGACCCCAGTCCTGCCACCGCCTCCCTGCCTGACCCAGCGCTGAACACGCCCCCTCTCTGGGCCTCAGTTTCCCTCTTCTGTCACAGGAGGGTGGCCGGATCGCTACCGTCCAGGATGTGCGCCGGAACCAGGAGGCCCAGCTGGGAGGTGTTCCCGCGGGAGTGGGGAGGAGCCGGCAGGTGCAGCCTGCCTGGGCCCTGACTTTGGCCCGCGCCCACCGGCAGGAATACCTCCTCGGGGAAGGAAACCTGAGCCAGCCGGCCGTGAAGCTTCTGGGAGACGTGATGTCCAAAGACGGTTTCTTCTATCTCAGCTTCGCCGAGGCTCTTCGGGCGCACAGCAGCCTCAGCGACCGGCTCCAGTGAGAGGCGGGGCCGACGCGCAGGGGCGGGGCGGGGGACCGGTCAGGGCAGAGGTGGGAGGGGCCGTGGGGATTGGGCGGGGCAGGAGGAAGGGCGCGGCCTGGTGCCTTGGGGCGGGGCTAAAGGGCGGAGAGGCGGGACCCTCCAGTCCCGCCACGCCAGCCTGGCGTCCGGGTCCTCCGGAGGAACCGGTAAGAACGGTACCTGGAGAAGGGCGTGGCCCAGAGAAGCGGCGAGGGTCTCGGGGTCACACGGCCCTCTCCCTGCTCAGGCCTCGGGGACCGCAGGATCGGGGAGCGGTGGGCGAGTAGGCGCGGGTCGCGGAGAGCCGGCGGGCGGCCAACCCGGGCGAGAACGCG